CCAGCTGACTGTAATATGCAGCGAAGTTTGAGAACACTGCTTTTTTAAGTGGAAGCATTATTTATATAAAGAAGTAAGTACACAAATCATAGGCATGCAGCTGAACTAATTTTCACAGATGGAACACACTGGAGTAAACAGCACCTCGGTTAAGAAAACACCAGCCCCCTTTGAGCCTTCTTATGCCCACTTTCAAAGGTAGTAACTACTGTGATATCCAAGCGTAGATTCGTTCTGCCTGCTTGTATACTCACATATTTGGACTACCTGTAGAGTTTCTTTGCTTTGAGAAGTTATGGACTAGAGAAGTTTGAATCACACAGGCTCCACCTAGGAAGGCTTCCTGAAGGAGGCAGTATTTAAGGGATGATCTGAAGGAGGTGATAGACAAGAGAGAGTAAAGGGGGAAAAGGGAAGGAATTTGGGAAAGGGAGGATAGCATCGATTGGGAAAGAGGCACAGAGGATAGCATGCTATGTGCCCATGCTCAGCTTGATATTCAGTCATTCCACAGATTTTCACTCCCTGGACTTGGGGGTGTAGAAGTTAGAGAACTTACATTTTAATTGGGACAAAAATAAGAAACAGGCAAATCCATGAAGAAGATACTTACAGATGGTCACAACTGCCATGAAGGATGAGAGAAAGAATGGGACAGAAGGAGTGAGGGAAAGGAGATGACATTCGAGTTCGGAGTGAGGAGGAAAACAGATCTGGGGAGGAATCTTGCTGGAGGGAAAAGAAAAGACAAAAGCCCTGAAACGAGTAGAGAAGGCATTAGCCTTGCTCAGGAATCTGCCAGGACAGCCCAGTGACCATCCAGTAATGCAGGCAGCACCCAGCATGAAGTAGGCACATGGCAAGTATTGGCTTTAATTTCCCTGGTTTGGAGTCCAGTGGTAAGACAGCAAACTATACACAACAACAGCAGTTCAGTGTGATAGGTATGTGCTTCCTTGGACCACTCACAGGCTTGTGGGTGCAGTGAAAGGCCCCTCAACCCCTCTTCCTAGTGCATCCAAGAAAAGGTGCCCTGGCTGATCACTGCATGCACCAACTTCCGCAAGTTCATTCATTTGTTATAAAATGCAGCTTCTGCACAGAGAAGGTTCCCATGTCTGGCACTTTATCAGAATCACCTGGGAACTTCTAAAATTTTAGATTTTTCTGGCCCCACCCTGGGATTTAATTATTATATATTACTAATTTGGTAATTCTGGGGTGGGGCCTCTTTATCTTAAAAAAAAAAAATCTCCAGGTGATTCTGATGTTTAGCCAGTGTGGGAGTATATGTTCTGGAAGGTACAGTTGACTCATTCCAATCAGTTCATGTCTTTACACATCCCAAGGTTTGAGTGTTGAATTCCAGGATGCCAAGTTCCCTGGAGACCCAGACACAGCATTATTCCAAGCCATCAACTCTTGGAAAACGTTCCCCAACGTGCCAGAGTCTGTGGTTTCACAAAGGATTCTGGAAATGCTGGTCATGCCCATACCACCTTTCTCACATTTTGTCATCTCTACATCCCAGCCAAACTACTATTTATTCTCCATCATTCTTTAGCTGTATTTATTTTTAAAATCCATAAACTGTATCAAATGTTAGATTACTTACCATAAATGGAGAGCAGCGTCTTTTGTAAAGATAGAGGGAATCTTAAAATGAAATCAGTAAAAATAAACAATTTTTTAAAGTCTGGCTAGGTGTTCCTGCCTCTCCCAATCTTCTAAGCCTGAGATCTGTGCTTTCTCGGTTGAAAACTAAAAGTTAGCAACTATCAGGAGGAAAAGACCCACCAGCACCGAACTGAGACTTTCTCAGATTGGAAGAGAATCGAAAGGGAATAGTATTTTCGTTAGGCAGTGTTTTTCAATATCATGTCTACACCACTGAAAAACATCTGGGTACCATTGCGTTATGCATCCCACTAGGGTAGCCAGATTCTTCTTTGTTCATAACCAAGCTAAATACAATAGTAGCAGTAAAAAGAAAAGTTAATGTAAGAACACTTTAGAAGTGTGGGTCCAAGAATATGTTGGTAGCCAGCTAAGAAGTAGGCTTTGCAGGAGGTATTGCAAGAACCCCCATCCCGTTGTAGAACCAGCTACTGAGAAAGAGGACAGAGTAGAGGTAAAATTCAGAGAAAAATTCTGGAGAGAGGCTGTGAGATTGTGTAGCCCAGAGTCAAGTACCCCTGCCTCTTACTGATTTTCTCCAAGGCTGGGTCCAGCTCCTGAAATCCCTCTTTCCTAGTTCCCAGCCTATTGGCAGCCATTTTTAACAGAAGTTTTTGAAGGCAGAGATCCTGTCTTATGCATTCCAGCATCTCCTGTGCTTGGGGAAATACCTGTCACCTAATGAACACAGTAGATGGTCGTTAAATGACTGTAATACAACCCCTCAACTAGCAGGTGTGGGGGCTTCTGCAGAACAGAGCAGATTCATTGTGAGTTTACTGCAGTCTTGGTCTCCTTTCTGTTCAGGCCTTGAGTCTATACCTTCTGATGCTATAACTGTGGTTCCTGGATGTCAAGACTGTGGGGTTTTACTCAGTAAGCTGTGGTCCCTAGCACAGCACTCTGTAGGGGTGTATTGAGTGATTACAATTAGAATTAATACCTTTTGCTGGCATCACCGACTATGAAGTAGAGTTTTCTCTGCCTCGGTTCCCTACGGACCAGGCTGGGATTGGGTGGGGTTGGCCGTGGGTGGACACTGCTTGGGTAACTTGGGGTGGGTGTGTTAATGACTTGTACCACACGTATGAGAAGGACAAATGAGCACTTGCCTCCCATGTGGAATGTTAAACATGATTAAACAATAATAACAACATATGATCAAAGAGCACTTCGCAAACAGTCACGATAACGTGTTGTGGCTGACGGGTAGGATGGGGCAGTCACATTTCCTGTAGCCCAAATGAACTGTTCAGAAACATACCCGTGGGGCAGGTAGGTCATCCTTGGTGATTCTCCATGAGTGAGGGTGAAGGTAGCAAGGGGGTGGGTTATAGGTGGAAGGCATTCAAGATCATATTGGTTAGGCCTCAGTTGGGCACATAGTTTGGGTGAGGGGGTAAGCACTGAGTGGGCACAGGTGAAACCCCATCACAGTGACACAGCAACAATGCCATCCCTTGACCTTATATGTTATTTAGTATCTAAGCCTGAGTTGGCTTTATAGTTAGTCCTATTGGGGATGTCCAGCTAGAAGAATAAAGGCTTTTTTAGCAAAAGTTCTCAAACTACAATGAGCAGGAGATTCACTTGGGGTGGGGGTGGGGGTGGGGTGGGGATTGCCTATTCAAAATGTAGATTGCTAAGCCCTGATCCAAAAGCTTCTGATTTACAAGATTTAGGGCAGTGGTCCTCAAGCAGGGGCAATATTTTCCCCCAGGAGACACTGGGCAATGTCTGGTGACAACTTTGGCTGACACACTGGGATGGAAGGGTCTGGCATCTCTTGGGCAGAGGCCAGAGGGCACTGCTAAATGTCCTCCATTGCAGAGAACAGCCACCACCACACAGAAATATGGCCCCAAATGTCAGTAGGCCCCAGGTTAGAACATATTCTAGGTAAGGCCTAGGAATATGCATCTTAACAGGGCCCAGGGTATTTTAACAGCTCTAAACCCTTATTGGAAAGTTCTAGACAATGCCTGTCTTTTTATTGTAGGGCCAGTGCTATCAGAGTACCCTTTGTGCCTAACTCTTCCATAGTTAGAACTTGACTTTGATCTGTCCTTCGAAGCCCTGCCTGGTAACCATCCTCCCTGCCTCCAGGTCCAGGTTAATTGCCCCTCCTGACTACACCTGTCCCAGCAGGCATCACTTGCCGTGTTAATTGTTTGTTTCTCCCACTGGAATCAAGCTCCTGAAGGGCAGGGTCTAGGTTCAGACCTGTCCCTGCACCTCAAGAGGTGCCTGATGCATAGCAGGGCTCAGGGATCACACATTGGCTGGCATCTGTCTCAGCTCCGGCCACATCTGCTGCACTGAGTCTAGAGCCACCCCCTCTCTCAGGCACTGCCACAGAACCCAGTCTTAACATCTTCATAGAGCTTATCACTTGTTGATTTGCTTATTTTTCATTCATCAACAAATATTATATTGGGCACCAAACTATACGTCTTTGTCCTTTGCCATCACTGGGTTATAACAATAAATAAAGAAGGCAAAAACCTATCCTTCCAACAAAGCTTATATTCTAGCAGGGAATTACGACCATACACAAAGTAGAAAACTATATGTAGTATGTGTGGCATTGATAGGCCCAGTGGAAAAAAATAAAATGGAGAAATGGGATGGAGAGTTGGGGTGTGGGTGTATGTGTGTTTGTGAAATTCTAAGGAAGGTAGACCTCTGGGAAAAGGTGATATTTAAGCATTTAAGCAATGACTGGATATCGGAGGGTGACTTCTCCGCTCTCTGATTAGAATAAATGGTAAGAGGGTCAGAATCTTCCCTTTCTCTATGGCTGTTGGATGTCCAGAACAGGCACATAGTAGGTGCTCAATTAATACTATTAAAACAAAGGGGAAAATGTGTGATTTAACTATCATTGAGGCAGATGGGAAATTTTTGTTTTCATGACCACCCACGGATTAGAAAGAAGTGGGGGGACCTGGCCTTAAATTTAAGTGATGGGGAGGACATCTTTGTGGTCAGATTAGGAGGCGTGGAGGATGGAGGTCGCCACTGGCCGAGGTGCCCTGCCCAGCCCCGCTGAAGCACCCCTAAGTGGGGGTTGCCCACGGTCCCGGCTCGGCAGCTCCCCGACCCCCGACCCCCTGCGGCTCCCTTTCCGGTGGCCCAGTTGCGCCACCAGGCTGCCTCCTTTTGGTCCACGACCCAGAGCGGCTCAGCCCCGCCTGCGGGGTGTCGCCCGGTGCACAGGGCGCACCTGGAGCCTCGACACGCCGGTGCCCGCCCCCAGCCCTTTACCGGCGGGACGCTGTCCCTTTAATACACTCCCTCTGCCTGGCGCTCTGCGGCTGGGGAGTAAATTTCTCCCTGTCATCAGGTCGCGGGGAGAGGAGGAGGGGGAGGAGGAGTTTGTTAATGTTCAGTTTGTTCAGCGGGATCGATGTTTGCTGGCATCGCCTCGCCCTGTCTTGTGTGTGTGTGAGTGTGTGTGTGTGTGTGTGTGTGTGTGAGTGTGTGTGTGCGCGCATATGGGGGGGGCGAGTGTGTGTGAGAGGAAGGAGTGCGTGCGTGTGTGAGTGTCTGTGTGTGTCTGTGTGTGTGTGAGCGTGTGAGTGAGTGAATTCCAGATTTTCTGTCTTGCCCAAACCCGCGCCTGTCCGCTCGCACATCCCTCCCGGACGGGGAGCTGACGGCAGCCGCACACCGACAGCGAGCGACCCCCTCCGCGGCGCGGGGCCGCCATCGACCTCGGCGAGGAGGAGGGACAGGAGGGACAGGAGACGGCAGACGGGGAAGAAGAAGAAGAAACCGCCGCCTTCCCGCGATTGCCTTTTTTCCCCCTTATCTTTACGCGCGCGTGTGCGTGCGGCGCGTGTGCGCCCCTCGCCCCTTCCATCCGAACGCGGTCTTGGATGTTTAATAAAGAAATCAAGTGTCTCCACAGTCACCAAAAAAAAAAAAACAAAAAACAAAACCAAAAAAACCAAAAATTTCCAAAAAGCAAAAACAAAAAGAGAGGAAAAAAAAATCCAAAACAAACAAACAAACAAGGCAGAAAACCAACCTCTACTTGAGACCTGCCGGCACGAACCCCCCCCGGGCCTGCCACCCAGAGAGGGGGTCTCCGGCCCGTGGCGGAGGAGTGGCAGGGGGGCTCGTCGGGGGGACCGAGGCCGAGCGACGCCCCAGGAGCCACCGGGCAGGAGGCGGAGGCGCCCCGGAGCGGCGAGAGAGACAGCGGGCCCCGCGCGCGGCCCGGGGCCGGGGCGCCAGGAGCGGGACTGGAGCGGAGCAGAGCGATGCCCAGGAGGAAGCAGCAGGCACCCCGGCGGGCGGCAGGTAAGAGACCCGGCTCCGCCTCGGGGCCGCCGGCCGGGCCGCCCTGCGCGCCGCGGGCGCCCCAGGACGCCACCCCCTGAGCTGTCGGGGGCGCTCGCTCCGGGGTCCCCGCTCGGCCCGGCTGATGCCCCCTTCCCCTCTTTCGCCTTCTGCCCTGTCCCAATCCTCCCCTTCCCGGGCTCCAGCTGGGTAGGGGGGAAGCTACCCCACCAGCCTTTCCTCCTTAAACTTTCTTTCCTCCACCCTCTACCCCACCCCTAACTTTCTCCCACTCTGTTGCTTGCCTCCCGGGCCAAGGCTGGGTTGAGAATTTGGGGTGCGGAGCAGGGCGACCGCCCTTCCACCCCCGCATGCCTCCGCGTGGTCAGTGCCAGTGGCTTCTGGCCTCGAGGGACAGCATTTCCTCTCGCTGGGGTTTGGGGCGCTCAAGTGTGAGATGCCCAAGCCCCGTGCCGCCGGCTGGCTTTGGGGCGAGCAATGGGAGTTCAGCTTTGATCGCCAAGGTGGAAAAAACCACCCGGGAAAGGAATGAGCCTTTGAATATGTTTTCTGAAAGGATCCGCGTTTGGAAATCTAATCAACATTCTCCCTTCTCTTAAAAAGAGAAAAAAGAAAAAAAATTCCCGTAGAACACTGAAACAGCTCTGGATTTTCTTTGCCCAGAGAGAGTCACAAACTTTGTAAATTGATTTACTTGGAAGGAACTATCCCATCCGAATCCCTACTTCCCTGCCCCACCCCCCCAAAATACGAACAGATTAATGGATCAGTACAATAGACCTTCTAAAGGATTTTTTTTTCTTTTGGGTTGCTTAATTGCTTTTTTAATAGTATGCTGGGGTTTTGTTTCTCGGAAGTGTAATATGAAAGTTCATTTTTCTCCTGCCAGACCCACCCACTGAAAAATCAGCTTTCCACTTGATTGCTAGTTTTGATTTGACATTTGATTGATCACCTGTCATCTCACTGCCTTTGATCTATTCATTCTTGATATATATCAATAAATCACTCACCATGGTAACTCAGAGTGCCAGTGACGCAAGCCTTGCCCTCTAGATTCAGAGCCAGACATGCACAATTATTATCTTGTTTGGCTTTTAAGGTGGGCGTTTTTATTTCTTTGTGTCCTTTAGTTGAATCAGGGCTTTAGCGAGAAGCTTAAGTTTGTTTTGTTTTGTTTTGTTTTTTCCACCTCTGTCTTTACCCTCCAGCTTTCGGCAGCACTGTTAAGGCTGGTCTTCTGCAGACCTCTCACAGCATCTCCTCTTCTAACAGAGAGACACTTTAGAGAGAAGTTCAGTGGAACACGTTCATAGTTCATAGACTTTGCAAAGACAGTCTTAGAACAAATCCAAAGTTAGTTGCAAATCCAGGCAAAGTGGGTGTTTGTGTCTGAACAGCTGGACCACTGAGCTTATCCCCCACTGCGGCCTGACTCCAGTTGGAATGGCAGTACATGTGCTTGTAAATATCCAGTTATCTTCCCTTGTCAGTGCAGAAGTGCTTCCGTAACCCTGTAGAGACTGGTTCAGATTGCATGGGGAAATATCATTTATAAAGCTTTGATACATGTATCTTCCAATTGTTTCCCTAAGAGCAAAATTAGTAAAATATTTTTGGTGCTGTATTTATTTATTTAGAACTTGCCTAGTGAGGTGTTCTTTTTCCAACTCTAGCTACCTCTTTTGGAGACAGTTTCTCTCTCCTATCCCATCCCTTTCTACATTTAACTCAGATTTTTTAAAACTCAGATTGCTTTGCAATCTGACAGCACTGGGGTATGTGCATTGGCTGTCTAGACCCTGGAAGAGAAAGCCTGCTTCTTCTAGTTCTGGCAACATAAGTTTAAGTGTAGCTAGATCATTAGAGATAACGTCCTTATTGTTGTCCCAAAAGAGAACCCTGGGCAACAGTCCAGCAAGAAGTGATACTGCCCTGAAAATTACTCTTTTTTTTTTCCCCCTTGTTGTTCCGGTAAAGGCCATCAACAACTAGGCAGTAATTTAAATTACCAGAATGACTGGACATGTCTTCTTTGGTAAGCTCATTACAAAAAGTGCATTGCTCAGAATTGCACTACTTTGATTATAATTATCCTCTGATCAATGAGGATCCAGGTGTACGTAACACAATGCTCTATCACGTTATTTAAATTAGCTCCTTTTCATTACGCTGATATCTAGCCGAGTTGGCTGTCTATTTACTGTAGTGTGTGTGCACGTGTGTTTGTGTGTGTGCGTTAGAAAGTTGTGGCTGGAGTTTCAGTTTTCTGGCCTATTGTATTCCTAGTGTCTTTTTATACGTTTGTTTTCATGGCTTTTATTTTTTTCACTGAAAGAAGTGGAAAGCCTTGTCAAGGGAGTAATTCATTTCATACGGAGAGGCCCCTCTTATGGTATTTATTTGCTCACATATTAATAAAGTGGATATTTTTTCATACAGTGTTTCTTTCCTCGGAAGGCGGCCATGCTGTACCCTGTTTTAGCTGAGGTGGCGGCTCCCAAGTGAAGTTAGCCACTTTGGGGTTCTTGAGTCAGTTACCATCCAAGGCAAAGGGGAAGGTGGGCTCTAGCATTGCAGCCGTACTAACTTTTGTCACTGCTCAAAAATTAGACACAATGCACAACTGTAAGTAATTATTCCCACGGACTGATGTTGAAAGCTTGATTTCTAGCTTGATTAATGAATAATGTAAGATAGAAAAAGCCTGAGAGTGAATCAGAGCTGAGCCTCTCTTTCCCAAGAACTGTTCGAGGCAATTTGATTCCTTTGCATTATTAGTTTTAAGTTCCGTGTTTCATGGAATCCATTACAGAACTTTCTAATAAAGCAGGTATGCGGATAGAATGAATGAGATGATATTATAAGTGATGGGGAATTTTCATCTTTATTTGTTATATTCCTCCCCCCTTTAAGGGAAGAGATGTAAGGTAGGCAGTTCTGTTTAAGGAAACAGCTAAGTCAGAACATTTCCCTCCGAAATGTCATTCTTCCTGGCTTTATCTAAAGCCATGCTATTCTACCATATTATTACTTCAGGCAAGAAAAAAAAGTTCATAAAGCAGCCTATAGCACCCCAGGGGCTTGTGTATGTGTGAGTGTGCGTGTGTGTGCTGGCACTTCCTTGTATGTATATTTCACTCACCCTAAAATGTATCCACTTTTACCTAAGAATATTGCTTGATTCTGTACTAGCATTTTTTCCCTCTATCCATTTTAGCCGAGCTAAAGAAGATGGCAGAAAGGTAAAATAAAGCAGAACAATGTTTCATTTGTATTTTGCAGGATGCAGAGTAGTTAAAATTTTTAAATTGAAGACTCACACTGCTACCTCTCCTATTTTCTGCCATATATTGCAGCCTCTGTATACAGACATGTGTAATACGCATTTTATTTCACCATTCCGAACTATAGTTTTTATATAATGCCAGCCAATTGCAATAGAAGGCAAAATCTTTGGGGATCCTATACAGGTGAATATCTAATGTATATATAAATTATAGGATTCTGCTCCTGCGCCCCACAAAGAGAGTACATGTTTCCTTCTTGCTGACTCTCAGAAGCGTTCTGATAATCCAGATCTAAGGAAAGTCTTGCAGGAAAAGAACAGCTCTCTCAATTTATTTTGTTTATTTAATATGGAGATGAATAATGCAGATTTTGTTTTCATGAATGTCCTTGTGTGGCAGTAAACATTAGACTATTAGCAATCATTACTTAAAAGTTGCAATTTGCACCTTAATAGCACAGGTTATTTACATGGGAAACATATTCAGCAGGGACAATTCTGAGTACTGTGATAGGAGTAGAAATGACCTGAGCGATCTCCTTTCCAAGCTCCTGCTAGCAAGGACTGGATTAACTGGTGAGGGCTCGGCAAACTCAACCAGCAGGGCAGGGAGAGGGCAGGCAGCTGGCGGTGAAGTTTACGTTTAATTTACTGGCAGGTGGGATAGGGTTCAAGAGAATAAGAATCCGGGTGGAGTCCCCGACCCTGACACTCTCACTTTGTTTAAACATACTTCAGAAAGACAAGTTCACATCTTGAAGATTTAAATACCGCATGCCATAGACCCCATTCACTTACCCAAACAGTAAGGTTTTAACAGATGAATGGAAAAAATACACACACACACACACACACACACACACACACAAGGGTCTTAGTAGCCTGAACTGTTTTGGCTATTCTTGTTTTTTTTAAAGCAGTTCCCTGGAAAAGGAAGGAGAGATACCTTGAAAACTGCATCCTCCACCCAGTGTTTTGGATGGAAATTGATTACTTAAGTGGTCCTTCCCACTCCTCTCCTGATTTCCTTCTCCCACCTCTCACCTCACTCTTAAAGACCCAGATTGAATGGGACATCTCAAAAGCCCATTTGTTTTAGGCATTTATTGATTTCATTTTTAATCCACCATATCAGGACACAATACATTAACCCTAATCAGCAGATTGCAAGTGACAGGGCGTTCTAGTGGAAGCTCGGTAAGGGAGAGGGGGCTCTGAGAAACTTTTCCACAATGAAAATCTTGAGGCTTGGGGGTTGGAGAGTGGGTGCTACTTTTGAAAAGGGAAAAAGCAGTCATCAGAAATACTATGCATTTATTTTTCCACCACCTTGCATTTATTTTTCTCCAAGTCACCTAGCTTCTACTGCTCCCATTTGGAAAACCTTCACAGCCAACAAATACCTCGTAGGCATCTTTAGCAAATCTGTCCCTGGAAGCATCTCGCCTTTTGTCACATTCTTCAACACAGACTTATGCTTTCATTTCAGCCCATCTGAGTTCTCACTCATTTGACCGAATTTCTCCAACTGGATAACACCTGGGTTGATCTATTTATCTCTCCAGTGGCTTGGGAATTGTACTCTCAACAGAGCAGGGTTTAAAGGGGCACCAAGCCTGGCAGTATTTAAGGCCATAAAAATGATGCACTTCTGCTCATCTCTATAGCTGGGCTTAGGAAAATCAGCCGAAAGAAAACCTAGGCCTTATTG